TCGAAAAAAACCAGTACAAAAATCTGCAAAAAATTATGCAACATACACCATGCATATGTTATGCATGTTTTCTCTAATCTATATTGTAAATCGACAGTCTCTAAAAACCATAACCACTGATTATGCTTTTTCCCCGAATCTCCCATTTATGGCACCTAGCAGTCTCCCATTTGTATTCCAGAAGGAAGACACCCGGAGAATTTTCTAACCGGTCTTCCACATTTTTGGAGAAACCAATAAAAATATTTTCCGATGAACGATAGCCGAGAAAAGCGACGGGCAGCGTTTCCTTCACCGCGGAACAATTTTTTCGCCCGACACCTCGATCGCAATAAGACGCAACAAATACGAGGAATACCATTGCCCCTTTCCGCTCGCCGGTTTTTTGTCGTTTAGCGACGATGAAACGCGCGCGTCCTCCTGAAAGGAAGTCGTGCGCTGTATACGGTCGCGGCAAGGACTCGTCGATGAAATAACTTCACGCGCGAGAAGCAATCACTCGTATCGTCACCTGTAGATTGAGACAGCCTTCGCGAGTGTATCGGGCCGATCGATAGAGGAACGAACTTTTCTCCGTTTCCCGACTAAAGACGGTAAACATCACGGGACACCGAACGAGTTCGACGCGAACCGGAACCACCAGCGACTGGGTCCTTTTACCTAAACAAAACAGCTCCGGGACAAAGATTCCCACGGAAATCGATTAACCGTGGCCGCGACGCGAGTTCTGCCACTCCATCGGCGATGGAGTTCTTTTTACTACCGGCAACCAGCCTAGCGCCGCGATTCCAATTTCCACCACGTGCTGGTTAACGAAGCGGAACCGAAAGGAACCGGAAAGAATTCAGGTGGAGAGGCTCGAGAGGGGGGCACGGAAAGAGGAGGCTGGTGTGCTCAGGTTGGAGAGACGAGGAGGAAGCGTGGCTGGGAAGAGAGCTCGGAGGCAATGGGACGACAAAAGTCAGCGGCGCTAAAAGCGCCACGGACCGCCAGTAGGCGCATGAATAATAATCTGTGATTAATAGAGCGCTAAGCTGCCGGTGACTCGCGGCATGAATGGCCGTAGTACTATTAAGCGTCGCGTATATCACGCCTATAGCGATATGGTGTAGTTTGGTGTTATTACATCAACGGGGCCGACTTTGCGCGCTTGTCAGCTCGGATCTGGGACACGCGAGATGATTCTCGCCGATGAGGAGCAATCGTTCACCGAATTCTTTTCGTTCGCTTCGATTACAGTGCGTTATTGCGTTAACGCATCGTCGACCATCGCGAGTTTACTCGTGTTTGCATTATATATTTGAATTCATGAAACCCAGGGCGATAGAGAATATTCCGAAAGTTTTACTCGTCGTGCTTAGTCTATTGGATTTTATTTAGATTGTTTTGATTTCACGTTTAAGAGAGAGCAAAATTAGGTACCAGGAGTTATTGAGAGAAAATTTTGAAACTTTGTACTTTCACGTAGTTTATGACACTGAATTTTCTTTTTTTTTTTTAAAATATAAAAATAGAAATAGGCTCTACATCAGCCGGTCCATAAGCCATCTGACACTGAATTTAATGACGCAAACAAAAAAAAATGGTTAAACAATCGCGGCGCCCAGTCTTAATTACGAAATAATAAATAACAACGCACCAACGAACAAGTTTAGGGCACAAGTATGTTAGTACTTTTATGTAGATCTTTTAATTGAGAAAAGTCTTTCTTTTACCGCTGTCAAACAAATTCAGACGGAACGTTTGTCTTCCTTGAGCGTTTCGGAGCCGCGAATCGCATCGCGATGCATTATTTTGACAAACATTTGCCACGTGCGGCGAATCGTACAATAAAACGGGACCATTTGCCGCGACGTTTAGATATAATTATAAATTAATGCGCGCTCCGTCTGTTCGCGATTGTAATTGCAGCGGTAACAACATTTAGGTCCACTCCCATTGTTTTACAATGATTTAAACGACTCCCCGTCGATCGAATTTATGGCCCGCGTGAAACTAATCGGCGAAAAACAATTAATTACGCGAGCGTTACGTGCGCGCGTTTCGGAAACGTCACGCGGAGACTTGTAGGCAAATTTCGAAATCGATTTCCATTCGCTCGAAACGACTCGACGGCTTAGAATTGAGATGGATGCCACGGATAAGTGTGATAGTGTCTGAATACTGGCGAGTGAAATTGCTTAATACATTTGACAAACCAGTGTTTAATCCAGTGGAAATTGTTGCATTTGTTTGTAAATAAACAACTGCGATAGAGATCAACACCAATAACCATAGTGACATTTTTTCGGAGAATTTGGGGGGAGAAATCAATT